CTCATTCAAGTCTTCATGAGGCTGAGCAACAATATATTATAAATAGTGCAGAAAAAACATGCCAAAAATCATGGCAGATGACAAAGGCTTCTTTAGAGCAAAAGGAAGCCTGAGGAGCCTCAGAACCTGAAATGGGAAAATAGGAAGCTTTGAATCCATTTAAATTAAATATTACAGGCACCAGATGTGACATCATCTAGCTTTGTGGTATAACTTTACATATGCCTACACACATAAATATAGGCAATAGGGAGGCATATGCAATGGGAACTAACAAACCTAGTGTGGTAGGGAAGATGGTGTGTGGGCTCCCTCATCACATTTGTCTGTGCGAATACTAAAAAATAAGTTTGCATAATTGCTGAGCTCATGAAACTTTGAGTCCCTCTTTTGAGAGAAAAACAGGATAACAAATTGGTAAGGCATCCTTCAGTCTCGAGAGACCATGGTAACGTACTCTGAATGGAGGACTTGGAACAGTGTCTAATGTGGCTGAGAAGGCCAATTCGAGAGTGACAATCCCTTCCATACTGGAGACAAATACAATCTGTCCCCTGTCCAGCTCCCTGATTTTGCAGTTTCGGGACTGCCTCTTTGCCTTGGCCTGCTGGACAAGGGTCTCTTCAAAATGGGAGAGGCCATGATGCACCTCCTGCCTTCAGGCTGAATGCTCATATGTCAAGATTTCCCACTTGTTGCTTTCCATTCCTAAGGCCTTCAGATCCTGCTTGCAGATATCCTTGTATTGCAGCTGTGGTCTCCCCCTCTGGGGCACTTTCCCTGCACTAATTCTCCATACAGGATATCTTTTGGAATCCGACTGTCAGCCATTCTCACGACATGCCCGAGCCAACGGAGAAATCACTGTTTCAGTAATGTATACATGCTAAAAATTCCAGCTCGTTCTAGGACTACTCTATTTGGAACTTTGTCCTGCCAGGTGATACCAAAAACGCATTGGAGACAACGGATATGGAATGTCTTCAGCTTCCTCTCCTGCTGTGCACAAAGGGTCCAGGACACACTGCAGTACAGGAGTGTGCTCAGGACACAGGCTCTATAGCCCTGGATCTTGGTATATGCCATCAGCTTCTTATTAAGCCATACTCTCTTTGTGAGCCTAGAGAAGATGGTAGTTGCTTTGCCAATGCGTTTAGCTCAACATCTAGAGAGAGGGTGTCAGAGATCATTGAGCCAAGGTACACAAAGTCATGAACAACCTCCAATTCTTGCGTGGAGATGGTAATAGAGGGAGGGGAGCTCAAGCCCTGGCCCATGACTTGTGTTTTCTTCAGGCTGAAAGGGTTTCCTCAAGCGCTTGGGCAAATTCCTCCACTTTTCTCTGATCGTGAGTCTTGCTGATTTGGGGTATCACTTTGTATATATACAAATTGGTGATTTTTGCAATTAATTTTTAAAGTGCCCATCTCCAATCCTCCATAGTGAGGCCAATGTATCCATAATAGGAGTAGTACTGGGCACTAGGAATCCTCCTGCCACTCTGGAGAATTGGCCCAAATGTCTTCCCCCTCTTCTTCTCCTTCAGCACTTGCCTCTTCCCTTTTTATACTGTTCCTTCCTTCCATTCCCAAATATTCTTCAATTTTTCCACCTGGACTCTGTGCAACCTTGGAAGCTGCCCCCATTGAGGACTTGCCCCATTTCAGGTAATGCCTGCACAAAGGCTGCCACACATAGTTCTCTCTCAGACTGACACTTGAGGGGGGTTGCGGGATGCCTCAACCTCAACCTTTATCACAGACTGACGGCCTCCCTTTCACAATGAAATATGTGAATTAATTCATAGAACAGTGTGACAAAATTCTGTATACATCTTAGCAGTCTGAGAAACAAGTTTGGTGTATATATGCTAACCAGCTTGACAGAAAAGTTATTTTTAAGTTTTCATACAACACTAGTCAACACCTCTCTCTTAACATGAAGTAATTTGGAATGGCAATTTTCACTTGTGCATTAAAAATGCAGATCAGTTGTCTCGCTTCTCCTTTCATGTGTGGGTGAGAGAGACATCACCTATCAGAAAGTACATTAAAAGATGTGAAAGGTGAGCTATAACGAGATCTTAAAATTGCCCTATGGAGTTTTTTTAAATCATGTTCCACATTTAAAGCCCTTAGAAGAATTTGCAGTGTTAATTCCATTTTACATTAAAAGGGAAATATCTCTGATATTTTAGAACGTTGCTGCAGGTATAAGGGTCAGTTATTATTGGTCACAATCAAAGATGCACTTTTCAATGCTGACTGTATAGCATGTGCTGCTTCAGCATCTTGTGTGTTCTCCAGGTTTTTTTCTGCCTGTTCCCTATCTTGAATGTTTAAACCAATATTCTTAGCATGAATATTTAGGACATGGAGCTTGAACTTTTCCAGTGTAGCAACTGTAAAATAACTTATACTAAATTGCTTGTCAATATGTTTCCCTTTCCCTAGGCTAGCTTCTACCTTTGCTGTGCTTTATCATAGAATCACAGAATAACTGGAAGGGGCCTTCTAAGGCCATAAAGTCCAGCCCTCTGCTCAATACAGATCTGAGAGATGGTTATCCACTTTTATCTTCAAGGCCTCTAGCATTGGAGCAGATGTATAATATGTTGCCCTCCCTTTTTAACTGTGTGCCGCCAAATCAATACCGACTTACGGTGACCCTTTCCAGAGTTTTCTAGGCAGAGAATACTCAGGTTTACCATTCCCTTCTTCTTTGGGCGCCCTGGGACTGTGCAGCTTGCCAAAGGCAACACAGGCTAGCTGTTTTGGGAGGCACAGTGTTGAGTTGAACAAGATACCTAATTTGCTGCTCTATCCAGAGAGCTATTACAGTAATTTAAAATATATGAATAAACATTTTACATTCTTTATATGGCTAGCTAGCCTGTTTCCAAATTATTGAATTCTATCACTTCTGCTTTGGGCTTTTGTTAATATACATATGTTACCGTTCATGTATTAATTAGGAGGCTGAATGCAAGTTAGGAAGTATTCTAAAAGCTTGTTTAGCAAAAGCTTGGAAGGTAAGCATACATTGAAAAATATTTGCATATTTGAATTAATAAGGTGTTTTTCTGTTCACGCTCTCTGAAAGCAATGAACTGCCAAAGTCAAGCAGTTATAGAGGTGCTTGTTTTAACTTGTTCTAAAACATGTTTCAAGACTGGTTTCCAAGAGTTATGTATTTTTAAAATGGCAGTGGTAGTTGTCTTCAATGACAGGGCTGCCCTATTAAAAACAGAACTTCATGATGTAATACATTTTCTAAATACTGTATAATATATTTGCAACCCTCCGTTTTTTCTTTAAACCTCGCCTTGCAACTCATCTTTTCAGTGAAACATGAGCCCTTAATCCTTACTTCAGCTGAAATGAAGTTACATTAAATGTAAAAATACTTAATTGAATTTGAATTTGCTTCCATGCCCTTCCCTCTGTTTCATCATGTCAAATTTTAGATGGTAAGATGATCATCGTAGCAAGCAGCTTCTCTTGGTGTTGTCGTCTGTAAAGTGTTATGCATGTTGATGGTGCTATGACAAAGTGCTATGCATGTGGCTGCCAATATGTGGCTTACTTTGGAGATGCAAACGTGCATTAAGAGCAATTTCTTGGGCAGTGTGCACATTTGTCTTGATTACATCTGGTTGTTGTTTATGGAAAAGTATGCATGTACACAGGTGCCAAACAAAGGTAGGCATTTTCTTTGACACGGTATCCCCCCCCCCATATTTGTAATTAACTCATGCACCACAAGACTTTATATAGAGCTGTACACACTAATTATGGAGTGAAAATGGAATTTGGAGAGAAAAGTTGAAGTAATAAGTCCCAGTAGCTGAAGTGAATTGAAGGAAGAGTGGTATAATATGTGGTAGACAGCTGAGAGTAAACAGGAAGATGCAGTTCTACCCCTGAGGTGGTCCCCACAGTCAGCAAAGTCCAGAGTCACAGTTACAAGGCACTGGGGCGTCTGGTGTTGAGGTGCATTCTTGCTTGGAGGACACAATTCCAAATTGTCTGTTTCAGGCACCAACGTGGTTTTGGGAATGCTAGTCTTAATAAAGTCAGGAGTGGCAGTAAATGAGCCAAGCGAAAAACTAACAAAAATTAATATAAATGACTTAGGATCTGGCCCGTTCTACTGCAAAGCTGCCAGTGACGTTTTATATACTGCATGTGCAAGTTAGGTTAAAGGAACCGTACTTTCAGTGTGAATGTGGCAACACGTCAGTCAAATTTCGACAGGGAGCAGAGGCTACTTTAGGCTTCTTACCGTCCGTGCACCCTGGCAAACTTTGGATTGTTTCTGTGTCATGTGCGAAGCAGCCCTGAGGGGAACTAGAGCAGGCATTCGATAAGAGAAGCAGAGGGAAGTGAAGGGCAAGAGGCCGGAAAAGGTCTTTTACAGTAAGTCTTCGGATAGCCTGGCCCTGAGTAAAAAAAAAAAAAAAGAGGATTTTGGCCCGCGGGCTGTGAGGGAACGCCGTGCGGAAAAAAAAAAAGAAAAACGAGGAAAACATGCGGCAGGGAGAGGGGAGTATAGCTGAGGCGACCCCCTAAGTATGGTCGTGAAAAGATGAGGAAAGGCGGGCGAAAGGGAATCTAAATACGGTCGTGGCAGAGCGGAACAGTTGGTTCATTCTGTGAGGGAGAGAACCAGCTCAGCCCTGCGCCTCTGTTGTCAGGCGACGCGTCGGAGGCCGTCTGGTTTTCCCGCCGCCAACAGACAGGGAGCTAACTGCCTCACGAGTCTC